AAGTCCGAGGGGGGGTGAACCCGGGCGTGATGCAGGGCACGCGCGTGCAAAAAGGGTCGGGGGTAGCAAATATATGGGGAGAGAAATTCCAAACGAACCTGTCACGTGTCGGCGCCAGGTGCAGCCGGAATTAACAAAGGTAAAGCGGCACTGACAGCCGTTCAGGCGGTGAAGGGCTGCGAGCACTGCCCCGGGCCGAAGGCCTTCGGCACACCCATTTAGATTGGGACGATGCGAAGAAGGTCAGCGTAGCCCCTCCGCAAGGGTGATGGGCCTGGGAGCGGAGGAAAAAAAAAAGGGGGGGGGGGCTCGCGCGTACCTGAATTCGGCCCCGGAAGGAGGCCAAATTCGCGCACACCGCAGTTCTCAGGCGGAGTAGCGCCAGAAGTCGCCTGACCCGCAAAAGGCCGGAGTCCCTCAGGGCTTCCGGTAGCTAAGTGACGTGGAGGAGAGTCGTGTAGTCCCCGCGTGGGCGGCGGAAGGTATAAAAAGAGAGGGGCCGGCGGCCGAGCGGTTGCTTATCGAAGCCCACAGGCTGTTGGACCAGCCACTCAGAGCCCGGGTACATTTAGCGATTAGGGCAGGAGGTGCTCTACGTTGGCGTCAACACGACGTCAGACGGGGTGGTGAGGTCGGAGGGACGGGCCGGCTGATGCAGCGGACAGTGGGGCCGGCGACGGGTGAACTTGGACGAGAGACGACGCCGGGGGCGCAGGGGATGGCGGAGAGGGAAGAGGATGAAGAGCGGAGGTGAGGGGTTTCGGTCAACACTCAGCCATTTGCGTAAAGAAAAAGCTCTAGACCGAGAATTCTGGGCGTCGTGAGTCGATTGGCGGTTTTGGGTTGGGAGATAGAGCGATGGTCTGGGCGCTGTGGTGGCAGGAGGTTGAGCGGAGTGGCGAGGGGAGGAGAGGAACGGGAGTAGGAAGTCAATAGCGGGTTCAGCCTCGACGAAACCTGATAGGGGAGGGTGAAAGGTACTTACCTTTGGTGTGGCGACGTCTGTTTTGCTCAGGATTGTCTTCTTGTGGCCGGGCGGTTTCAGAAGTCATAGAGCGCTAATGTATCTGACTGTGTTCAKGAMGGGGATTCAGTCGACCCTGRTGGTCCYRGTGGCAGGGGGGGACRCGAGGCCGGTCGCGACACCGGAGGCATACCTAGTCGACTGGTGGAAAGCTCACCTCGGCGGCAGGAGATCATGCCGGACGGACACAGACGTTAGACCGCGCGGCAGGGGTACGGGGTGAGCTACTTSTGTAGCGGGCRGTGCGTGATGGACTGAAGGTCGAGCCACAGGGAGGTACTGACTGAATGTCAGGACTGGGTTGGCAGAGGACCGCTAAGGCCCTGCTCGACTGATGATTGAAGTAGTAGGCAGCGAGAGAAGGGGGGGGGGGCAGATGCTAAAGGCCGAGAAACGAGTTACAGTAGAACTGCGCTGCGGCTGTACCAACGGACTGGGGGCGAGGGCTGCTGATTGCTATAGGCTATGGCCACTGCCGTGTGCTACTGTGGATTGTGGGCCGCAGGGTACCACGATGGCGACTGCAGATCTATACCGCCGAGAACGGTGGGTGCGTGTTCACTCCTGGTGGTTGCCGGGTGCTACTACATATCGCAACAACTGTTGTTAACAGTGTGAACTGTTACTACGAGCGGTCGGCTACGGTTGCCAAGGACTGCGCAGCGGCTGCTTGCTGTTACGGCGGACCCTATTTGGATTGTTTCTACCGACTGTGGGCTGCTGCTGCTTATAGTTGCCTGTGGGCTGTGACCGGCGGGTGGAGGCCACCTGTTGGCACCTGTTGATCGATTACCGCTGACTATTGCAGCCTGTGGCGCTATGGCGGACAGGCTCAGGGAAGTGACGAGGCTCTGAAAGCGGGGTGGGTCCATTGCTGCAGACTTGGAGAGTCGTCAGGGGATTTAGACTTGGCAGTTTGACTGAGAGGTTGACCAAGCTGTCACATTTTTGGCCGCCATTGTGAGGCTCTTAGGCGTTGAAGGATCGAAGGCCCTCTCGCTTGAGTCTGAGTGTTCTCGCTTGAGTCTGAGTGTGTCCTTCCTGAGTCTGAGAGTCTTACCACTTTTCATCCTGCCCTTCTTACTCTAAGTCTGGTCCTTTCGCTCTTAGAGGAAGGCGGCAGGCGGGCGTGTGGCCCGTAACCCGCGCCAAGGCCTTCGTGGGAGGTTGCCCCACCGATTGTGGGAGCTCTGCTGGGACTCAGGCGGAGCCCTGGAGGCAGGGAACTGAGTGGTAATCCCCTGACTCCCTCTATAAACCCAGCTATAGCCCCTACTTGTACATCTCTCTACTTTTGACTGAGTGTATTGTGTGGACCCCGTACTTGGTTTAGAGTTTGACTCTCAGGATATTAGTCTAATTGAAGTAAAGGAATGTACGGGCGATCTCAGTTTTAGGTTGTTGATTGCCTGAAAGCAGATTGTGAATGAAACAGATTGCATCTGAGGAAAGCTTGGGAGAAAGGCAGTATTGTATGCAGCCTGGTTGGGTCATTGAGGCTGGGAGGTCTCCATAAGTTTGGGGAAGCACAGCGCTTTGTTTATTTTTGACTTGGATGGAGTCTCAGGCCGCTCTATAAGTTTAGGTAGCCTGAAGCTCTGGAGGCAGGGATGTCCCTATAAGTTTGGGGAGACCTAGTGCTGTGAACTGTATGGAGAGTCAGGACGCTCTATAAGTTTAGGTGACCTGACTGCTCTGACTTGCGAGGGTTGATTGTGCTGGATTTTCAGGGGCTCAAGGCGCTCTATAAGGTTAGGTACCCTGGGTCGCCTTGTTTGTTTGGGAGTTCTGTCAGTTTTTTTGGTTTTGAACGAGGAAGTCTGAACCGCAGTATAAGTTTAGGTGGTTCAGCCCTTCTCGTGTTTTGTTCTGAGGGAATAATTCTGGCAGGGGACAAGCCGCTCTATAAGTTTAGGTAGCCTGCCCCACTGCCTCGCACAAATTGGATCAAAGAGGAACCAACCTGGCAGAGGATAAGACCGCTTTATAAGTTTAGGTAGTCTGACCCAATGCCTCGCACATGTTGGAACCCAATGGATATAATTTGATTATACTATATTACTATGCTATTACGAACAGGCTGGTCATGCCGCTCTATAAGTTTAGGTAGCCTGACTATAGCTTATCACAATTGAAGAGAGTATAACTAACAGATATAAATGGAAGTAAACCTGGGCAGGCTGAGAAATGTTCTAAGTTGAGCGGCTCAGCCCTATGTCCCCTTTGAAGTATAAGTTCATAGAGGTATATATAACTTGGCTATTTAACCAGTTCAAGGCGATTGGAGTGGTCTAGTTGTACGCCCAAAGAAGAGAGAAGTAGTTGTGTCTTCTGTTTGTGTATAGCTGGTCAAGTCGGAACGCTCTATAACTTTAGGTATTCTGACTTTGAGCCACCATCCCAAGTTCTTTTAACAAACAATAGTTCATGCTCCTTCTGTGAGTAATCCCATTATACCCAACTTACATAAGGGTGGATCGGCAGCGGGCCCACGGCGGATGACGATGGAGATGATGGCAAGTGACACGTTATCTCGCCCAAAGGTGGCAGCGGGTTGGTGCGCATCGTCGGCGCTTCGTCGACGGTGGTGACGAGTGGACGAAGCGTGCGCCTTCAAGTGGACACGGTAGCGCAGAGGCGGGACGGGTGTCGCCAGGTGCTGGGGGTGGGGGGTGTGGCGAATAGGTGAGGTGCCAGGTCCTGCGCAGCAGTTCGTCAAGGCGGAGGTGCGGAAACATCTCTCACCGCATCGAACGATAAGGGTGGCGAAGACTGCGCGGTCCAGCGACGTGGCCACATCGGCAGATGGTTGTGTATTGCGTGTGTTGTGAGCGGTTCCTGTGTTTTTTTTTTTTTTTTTT